TTCTTAACCAATAAGAAGCACAGCATGAGCTGAGGAGGTGTTTAGTATTATGTTTGGATCACTCGGCTGGATTCAGTGCCTGACTTCACTCTGGATTTGCTTACCTCAGGAAAGTCAGTTAACTGCCTGGTCCCGCATTCCCTTCCACATCTATTGGATACAGTCATCTAGTACTTCCTTTCCCTCACTTGCTGCTGTATAGACAGGACAGGCAAGTGAATCAAGAAGGTATGAATCCAACAGTTTAGCCTTCCTTTCATTGGCACAGCAATCCTGTGGAAGCATGGATCTGTAGCAGTAATGATCCAGTGTTAAGTACCTAATCCTGGCAATATTTTTTTCACACATTTCATAAAAATAAAGGGTTTAACAGATTACCTTCAATTAAAGAAAAAGCAGCTAAAAAAAGGTCACAATTTGCAAATGGAAGATTTTTTTTTGAACTTTGCAACTCTAAAATTGAATGTGTCAAATTTGTTACTGTCTTTCTATCTGTATTTTAAAATTGGTCACTTGAAATCCATAATGTCCTTAATTATCATTGCAAATTAGGTTTAATATTTTGCCCAATTTAGCTCCTCACTGGAACAGTGCGAGCCTTTGCTCTGCACCCTCCCAGAATGCCACTCTGATCCCCTTCCCCTGCCTGATCTGCCACTCTTCTTCTGAGATGCTACTCTGCTTTCTGCTTCTTCCCCATGCTCCCTGTTACATCTACTCTGATTCCTTCTTCCTGCCATATCTACCAATATGCTGCCTGCCCTCTCCCTATCCCACCATCTGTCATGCACAGAGGCTATCCATGGTGTCTGTTGCATACATGTCTCAGGCTGGCCACCCCTGCCTCAAAGATTTGAGTGACTCTGAGCTGCGGAGGAAAAAAATCTTCAACCTTATTCTCACACTGGGAATGCAGATTCCTCCTGTTAATATATATAGTCATGATTACATGATGTGTTCTGGTTCTTTCTCAACTCATAAGATTTCTAGGAACTTCTTGGGAACATAGGATTGGACTATGGAACATGGGCAACTGGTGTCACCATAGTCAGGGGGGACACATGCCCCCCACCAGTGACTGTAGTATGAATTTTTGCATATTAGTTATTATGCTTAAATGATAATAGTATAGAACTGATAAATCTCTATGACTGTATGAACAACGGAAACTCCTTTTTGTGCTTGTTTCCCTGCTTGACACGAGTAGATGAACTTTATATGCCTTGTGTACGTGAGTGTCTGTGTGAGACGGCGAATGGTGAAAGAATGGTAACTATTTGCATGAAAACAGAACATTTACTTAATTGTGTAAGCAACAAGGTGCCAATGTATAAGTTACCAGACAGTAAACTAATTGTGCTAATTAATGGATGGCCGAAGAACTCGTCTGTGATCAGGTGCAAAGAAGAAGGAATTTTGCATATCCTGCCATTTGAACTACACAGTGCTTCAAGATCAAGCACACAATGCTTCAGCGGAGATAACCAATTTTACTGGAATGACCTCAAGTTGAGATAACAAGAAGAAACAACCTCTAATTTAAGACTGAGCATGGAAAACCCCCAATGCTGAACAGAGACTTGAAATCCCTATAAAAGTGGGATGCAGACAAGCCAAGATGGGGAATCCACTCTCTGCAACCTCATGGAGCACAGACATGCATGTCTGCTCGTCCCCCACTCCTATCATTCTCAATAAGCCTGGACCTGGACATCCAGTGCTAATATTGAGTAACATCTGCTGGTATCTATAACATCTTACTGGAGTGGTTTTGTCTGTATGCTTGTATATGTCTTTCTATGACTGGCATGTCCAAGCTTATGGATCTGCTTCACATAACCAATAAACATGGCATTTTGCTTTATTCCCTTTTTAAGGTCTTGCTTTTAATTTGCGCTATTGGCAATTTTAAGTAACACAACCAGTCAGTGATTGGAGGGGAGGGGTCCCCCTGCAGCCGATCATGCTGACCAGGAAGTGGCCATGGCACTCCCAGAAGTGGCCATGGCACATCATCTGGCACTCCCACTCCCTGGCCAGCATTTGTGGGGGGGCACCAGCACTCCTGTCTGCCCCATCTGCCCGTCGCCTAAGTGGAGAGTGTACCTGTCAGGGGGTGCACCAGAGTTTTCAGGGGATGTACGTGCACCCCCGTGCACCCTCTATGCATCACCACTGCTATGGAATGTAGTTTCTGAATTCCCAGGCAATCACTTTTCCCAGCAATTCCGAATAAACACCACTTCATAACACTGATACCCTGCTATAAAGTAGAAAACCAGAAACATCCTATGACATTGTACAACCACTGTAATGACAGATATGTAAGCATTGCATATATTCTATGCAGAATATTTCTGCATTAAGGTCTAGTAAACATACACCAATGTCCAAATGATACATCAACACATGCATATAATTGCACAGACACCGGAAAATAAGATTTGAACAATATACCAGTCACACCAGAAGTCAGAGATAAGCTACCTTCTGGATGAATGATCAATTAAGAACACACACGTAGATGACTATGATACTAGTTGTATTTTCACAGCAAGAGCATGCATTGATTTGCACTTCCTAATTTTGCATTGACACTTAAGGAACTGATCCACCCACAGGACTTGAAGGACAACTAACTACCTGTCTTGATGGTATTTTTATATTAAGAATTTCTTGTAATATTAAATTACTAATGGAAAGCTTTTATAATAAACTCATGAGACAACACCTGGATGTTACATTCTGCTTAATAACATCTGCAAAATTATAGACCTTTGGGATGAACTTATCCAAAAGAGTTCTCCCCCCTAATTACAACTTTGTTGCTATAGAACTTCCATGTACAGCCAGGGTTAGTGAAATCTGCAAATGAATTAAACAACTTATCAAATGTTAATACAGGTTTTCTCAGTTGCGTTATATAAGCAAACAGAATTATCTGGATTCTACATATTGCTTTGCATAGGCTACATTTCAAATTTGTTTGTTAGTGTAGACAATCAAGTATTCTGTTACGGCAGATCCCAGATCAGATGAGTTGAGAATTGCTCACAGGACTGATTTAAGGTCTCTTTCCCATCCCCTCATTCCTATGACCTCTGTGTGCCCATTTAGTCCTCTGCACATGTTGAAGAAGGCTTCAGTCTTCTCTAAATTATATCTGCTGGCAGGAAACTCAATCCACCAAAGTGGTAGACATGACAGATAGGATGTATGAAAATTCTAGTGATGCACATCTGCTCTAACCATACCCTTTATGCTGGCAGCACAAGTGAGGGACCATCAACATAGTGTCCAAATACTAATGCACCTTTTATGATGAGTTATACCATTTATATACCAAATTTCATTGGCACCAGGAAATAAATCAGCCATAAACCTCTCAGCTGAAAACCTGGCCTGAAGTATATATTAGCATAGAATGAGACAATGCTTGCTAATGGGAACTTGTGGGCTACTGAAAACACTGATTTGTTTTTCTACTTACTACTAGTTTCAGCTTTAATGCCTAGAAGGTTTCAAAACTAAGATATGAGGACAGGTGGATTTTCAGATTTTATTCTGGATGTTAAAATCAAGCAGTAATTTAATGGCCAGTGAGAATAAGGGAAGCCTGGGAGCAGCTTTTAGAGGTGTGCAACTTCCCCTATGTTGTGAATAAAAAAGGGCCATCATTAATCTGAAATGCTGGTTGTATTTTGGTTGCGAGAGTTCTTGCTTCCCCCCACTTCCCCTGTTCTTCCTTTGTTTATATCTCAGAGGTCACCAACATTAACCACCTCTACCCTCCTTAGTTCAGTCAGTGCCTCAAGCACAGAGAGAAGCATTAATTTGGAATTTATTATAGCTAGTAACAATGATGAACATCAATTGAAAGTACTGTGCCTTTAAGGCAGGGTAGAGTGAACGCACCTTCATGTACTAGTCCTATGACCCAGATGTCCATAATGATTCACTCACTTCACACATTCAAAATTTTTACTATAAACAAAAATGTTGCCTTTCATTCATCTCCATGTCAATGAATGTTCTGAGGATTAAGGTTAACAGGACCCGCTGCTGCCAGCTCTGTAGCCTGAATAAAGTGATATAATTTGTTCTGCCACATGATCCAAAGACTCTGCTACCAAATGCTGTACTGTTACTACTAGGGAAATTTTCTGAGTTCCAAGGCATGTCCTCATATATCAAAAAATGTCTCATACTGAATTGCTTTGCAGTCCATAAACACATTTTTATCTTCTGGATCACTAACAGTCCTGCTATGTTTATGCCATGAAGGAATACACCCTGGAAGTTCTGACAGGTGAGAGTAAGTCTGCATTGACTAGAAATGGAGTTCTGACATTTTATGAGGCATGGAGCACCATCCTGGGTCCTTGCCTAAAGGAACAAAGAAGAAAAAAATATTGTGACTGCAACAGTATGGTGGCTGTCATTGGATACATGTTAAAATCCTGCTTTTTTGTAGTTTCTATATATAGAGAATGGATTACCTTAAGATGTGGCAAAATAAGGGAAGGGTAGGAAAGAGGGAGGGGAAAATGGGAAAAATAGAAAGAATATGTTTTGGGAATTGAGAAAGGTTTGTTGCTTTCCTGTTTGAGAATAAAGGCCAAGATTATTTAGCTTGATATTATTGGACTATCCACACTGGTGATTACACAGCATTTTTACAACCACAGCAACTCAAAACAACTTTTTGTCACCTTTTTATAGATCAAAAAACTGAAATGTTTGTAAAAATAGTAAAACATCTAAACATGTTTTACTAACCCATAACTATTTAGATGCCTTGAGAGACAGACCGATCTACTTGAACACTCACTTATCCTATTCTTTATTATTTAAATAACTGGATTACCACAGCACGTAGGAGGTTGGGGCTTGTATTGGACAAACTGAACAAAGATGGTTCCTGCCTCAAAGGCTTCATATTACAGGACAAAACTAGAGACAACAGATGGACAGACATGGCAATAATAAACCAGGGTCAGTTACTGATGGACAAGAGTCCTAGGGTACAGACTTTACACATTTACTGGTGTAAATGATCAGAAACTAGTCTATACCCATAACAGAATAGATGTTTGGTACACAGACTGGTTAAAAATGTCAGAACCCAGTCTAAGCTTTGCCCCCATGGGTAGAATGTGTGTTCAGTTTGCTACTGATCTAAACTGTGCTGCTTACAGAAAACTGCATAACTTAGATAGATTCTGCCTCAGGGCTTTTGAATATCTGTACCTAGCCCTAGTGTACAATTGTCTAAGAACCATCAGGTTTTCTGTTTTTGAATAAAGGCAGGGAATAGTCTTAAGGAAGGTTTTGAAAAAAAGTACAACATTCATATGGCATGTTTACTGCTCCAATGCATAAAGGACCAGCATGAAAATGAAAGGTGCTGGGACCTTATGCTGGGATCATGAGGTGATCAGAAAGTGCCCTGTCGCTACCTCCTCCCTCGCATTGATGAGAGGTGATAGGCAGAGTGAGAAAGTACCACAACAGGTCTTGAAAGCAAAGATAATAAGCTTATATTTGATATCAGAGCAAGGAGAGCTAGTGGACAGAGGCAAACAGCAGGGTGCCACATTCAAGCAGCCTTCAGGTGGAGCTGAGCAGATGAAGCTATTAATTGTCAAGGTCAAAAAAAGATGGAGCAATTGAGGCAAAATGATGTCTCATTTTGGACGACTCTGGGAAAGAGTTTTAGCTGCATGGATGTCTATGCAAAGCCATATCTATATGCATGGATGGATGCATGATTGTGGTAAGGAAGGTGCAGCCACACCTCTTTCTTCTGGCTCTGCAGTGAATGTTCAGTGAACTCTTGGAGCAGTGTGCCCTTTGAACTCGTGTGCCACAGGTGAAGGGGGAATGGCTCCCTCCCCAACCCTACCATGATCCTGGATGCTCATTGTCATGTCAGTGCAGCTCACCAACTAGTCAGCACAAACTCTGGTCACACCTTCAGCTTTCATATGGCTCTGGAATCCAGGGGTGAGCCTTGCTGCCATCTGTATTTATCCCACTTAAGATTAGAAATTAGTCATATAATCAGCATTTTTTTCATAATTTACAGTTATGCTTCCTTGAGTACAGGAGGATTTAAAGACTTCTCAGGATATCTGGCCGTATCTAGGAGCTCTACAATAATTTAGAAGAGCCAGTACTACAATCACTAATGTCATTTCAGGACATATTCTGGTCCTACTTATTCAGAATTAGCACTGACTTTTTCTGAATGTTTGCACATGAACAGATCCAACCACAAACAAATAATATTTGTTAATTAAAACATATTCAAGACGCTATTAAATCAGCAAAGGCTAAAATGATTTCACAATGCAAATCTCATCGCAAAACAGCATGTGAGAAGGAATAATGCTTTTTCCCCCTCCCCTAATGGAAAAGAAATCAAAATTATATAGTATCTTTCTTCCCACAATAGTCTTCACACTAACTGTTAACATGCAGTTGCAAGATTTTGAGCATTCATTTGGTCTCTTTAGCAGAGTCTCAGATACAATTCATTAGCACATCATTCTTCTCTCTAAAGGGGTGCAGGACTTTTGTAAGAAAGAAACCTACTGTAATGGACTGCACTGGTAGCTTGAACTCCATTTCCCAGCTGGCTCCTGGGAAAAGGGAAGGAAGCCTGGGGGAAGCTGGGCTTTGGCATGCAAACCAAGGGTCAGGAAAAGAGAGTGTGTGAGTGAAGAAGGCTGCAATTGGTGAGATGAGCAGCAGAGACTCCAGGGCTGAGGCAAGACTGATCTTAGCAGGCTGCAGCTGGTGGAGTGAGTAATGAACTCACAGGAGCTGCAGCTGGCCTGATCCTAATAGGCTGAAGCTGGCAAGACATGCAGGGGAGAGAGCCTAAACATGCAGTGAAGCCAATCCGGTGGGTCACGGCAGAGGGGACCCAATTGTAAAGTTTGGAACAAATGATAAACATGTGTGCAGAAACATTGAAGGATGGTTTAAAAGCTCTCAGAGTGGAGAGAGAGCTTGAGCATCCCTTGGTGTAAATATCCCATTGCTAGTATTTCTTACTTGCCATTTGGTTACATATTGCGAAAGCATTTTTATTACTGGATAACTATTATTCCCTTGTGTCATAGGGAGAAGGGCCTAGCAGAGCAACACTGAGGTGACAACCCCCTGAGAGGTACCACTGGTGGTTTCCGGGGACAGAGTGGTAGCCTGGTAAGGGCAGGAGGTGGTTTACAATCACCTGCAGGGCTAGTGACGATGTTGATGATGGAGCCATGAGCAAAGCATCAGCTCAGTTTTACAAGTTTGTGGTGACTGCAGATTGGCCAGCGTGTCAGGGCTGACATCGTAAGTGAGAGCTCCAAGCCAGAGAGAAGCAGAGCACTGGAAAGCTGGGAGGCAGGGGAAAGAGCTACATGGCAGAAAGGTCCTAGCAACCACCTTGAGCAACTAAAGGGACCAGTTTCTGAGATGAGAGGCTCGGACAGGTCTCCAGCCCAGGGATCCCAGTTCCAGAGAGGAGTGAGCAAGGCACGGCGCAGGAGAAGGCCAGGGGTCAGCACCATGCTGAAGGAAGCCACACTGTGCAATGGCAGACATGAATGGCCCTTAAAGTGCCAGGATTTGGGAGCACATGGTTTGTTTGTTTTTTGTTAAGGTATCTTTTGTTTTAAAGTTTTTGGTGCCCTTTGGGTGATGAGGGCTTGATTAACCAATTGGGCAGAAGCCTGGATAAATTGTGGCTTGGGTTGGATGGAGTTAATGACTCGGTGGCAATGAATGGTTTGAGACCAAGGGAAACAGTTGATTTCAGGAAGATTTTGATTTGTTTAGACTCTGAGGGAATGCATGACTGACAATCACCCGAGGTCACAGAGTGACGTGCCAATGAATTAATTGGGACATGAATAGACCATTTGATTTATAAAAAGTTGTTTTATTTATCAATGATCCGAGGAAATTAATGAACTGTAACTGCCAAAGCATGTAGATTGATTTGCATTTGGATTGAATCAGGACTACGTGAATCATTCAGGTATTGAGAATATTGATTTGCTGTCTAATCCATGCACTTCGTGACTCTGCTGAATGTAGTAAGGGTGAAGTGTGTGCTGAGAGCATTGCCAGCGCAGAGCCTATTCCTGGCTAGAAGGGACTGTGGAGTGAATTTCACTTGAAGACCCAGTTGGGGTACAGGCAGGGTGAAAGGGGAGCAGGTGAGCCAGGGGGTGTACTCTGCAAGTGGAACATACAATGGGTAAAACTGTCCGGGCCGAAGAGCTGGCACCCTAGACTCCGGAGCACATAGACCTTGTGGCAAAGTCGTCCTTGGCACCACCACATACACCTTATTATATTTATTCCCAGGGTATGAACCTTAATGCTTATTCACTTGCTACGTCTATTCCAAATGTATAAACTTTAATGCCTATTTGCCTGTTATGTTACCTCCAGTGTATGTATTCTAATCTATTCAGTTAGGTTTATAATCACATAAGCCCAGTGGCCTTCTCATTTACATACGTTTACCTCAATGAACTCCATTAATTTTAGAATTTCTATTTACAACAGTCAACGTAAAGAAAAAATTCCAAACCCAAATTTTTTTTTTCATAATATTACTATTTTTGATGGCATCAAATTGAGAAAAAGCAATGGTTTATTTAAAATGGCTCAATAGCATCAAAGAATCTTGTACCATGTTGGTAAGAATTTCACAGCAGTTTTTCACATTTAATTTGGGCTTGTACTAGTAAAAATGTCCTCCAATTACCTTTGTCATTGGTAAGAATAAACCAGGGTATTCTCAATGAAAAATGGCTGCTAGACTATTATTAAGGCTATGGACAAGAAATATTTGGTGACAGGATAATGTGGTTTTATCACACAACCCGGTCTTTTAAGTATACATGCCCACAAAAAGCTGCCTCTTCCCAAACTGTAGTGTGCTAGGGAAACTCATCAGAAATGCTGTTGTTTCTTAAGCAAGAAAAGGGGAGAGAGAGATTTATAACCTTTTCTCCATTTTCAGCATACCTTGGTATTAAGATGGAAAGCCATGACAATCTTGGAAATTACAGCTCTCATACGTATGCTATTTTTGGGTGGATGCTAGAAACAGATTAAGTTGGACTAGAGCCCACCCTTGAAAGACCGGTGCGTCTTGTTACAACTGTACTGCAGGGGCTCCTTGCGCCACTTAAGCCCCAAATTAAGTATTTCACATTCTTCATGCTGGGTAATAATGAATAATCTCTGTTCTTATTAATCAGAAATAACTATTAAAATACATATTCCTAGTATTCCTAGATATCAGTAAACATATTGACTCAGAGTTGTCAACTCTCTTCAATTCTCGTCATGGTATTATACAATTTTCATAAATCCTCAGCTCCTAGTAAACTGTAATTGTCATCTAATCTCACCTATTACTTTCCTTAAAGTCAATTTCTAACCTTTAAGCTTGTATAAAAAAGCTTGAAAAATATTACCCAAGTGCACCAAGAGGCCAAGAACTTTGTTACACCGTATGCTGTGAACCACACAAATGTTGATCAGTGTTAGTGCTAGCTTGGAGTTTGGGGTAGTCACATCCTAAGTCTAGAAACCTCCAACTGTCCCCCACCTGCACAACTGTGACTTACCACTAGAGGCCTGGCGAGCAGAGGTAGGACTAGGAGCTGAAGCTGTGAGTTGCCATTAGAGGGCAGGTGAGCCAGGACAAGCTTCTATCCCTGCTTTCTGGGTGGGGGTGTGAGAAATCCTGGGATACTGGAGGACTTCAACATGGGCAGCACATCTGTCGGGAATGGCCACACCTTTATGGCACAAGAGCTGGGTAGTGCAGATCAGAGATAATTCTGCTCTGGAGTGGCCTAAGCATAACGAGTGCTTAAAACCACAATCCAGGGGTTAAGAGCTCTTTTTATTAATAAATGGAATAGGGTTGTTCTTATTAGATAAAATGAAACAATATGGGATCAAAATAAAAACAAGATCAGATCATGTTACTTTCTAGTTTTTGAAAACTGAAGATAACATTTTGGTCATCAGGGCCTCTGTTATAATGAATAGAAAGTAACTACGTTTCTTTCCATCCTTTGAAATGTTACTAATAACGAAATCAATATTAATACTAAAACAACTACATTATGGGGTCAGGAGAGTATATGACCTTTGGGAAATATTTAATCCTAAGGATTGTGGCTTTAAGTAGCTATTTAAGAAATAGCTGATGGTTTAAATTATTTTTAATTTAAAAATGTGGTAATCTGTATTAATTGTTCTCTAAAGTGTGTAGTAACATCTGTTTTATGGATAACCAAACCAAAAATGGGCTATAGGTACACTTCTAATGCCAGCAATAATCTAATCTCAAAACAAGATTAGAGATTTTTTTAAAACAATATTTAACAATGGGAACAGCACTATAAAAAAAATCCTTAGTGTTTTCCTCATATTTCCTGGAATATTTTATAAAACAGAATTGTGTTTTTTGCCATATAACCTCAAGGACATAGAAAAACATGGAATATAAGATTTTGGACACACACCTACTAGTATAGTTTCTGCTACTGTTTTCATCCAGATATTATAACACTCTTGTCCAGAGAACCCAGTTATTTCAAACTTTTAATGAAAACTGCTATTTTTAGGGCCATGTGGTTTGCAAAGCAACCTCTATTGCTCTCTAAAGGTTATTTGGCACTAAATGAAAACATAATTCTGTTTCCTTTTCACACTGGTGATACATTTATAAATATATTTATTATAAATGTTATTTAGGTGTTAACACAATATTTATTTAAGAGCAATGGCTCCCCTAATGAAAAAGAAGTGTACAAAGTTATTCTAGCCCTTTAAAATGTCTCCAGGACACTGGAGGGATACAGTACAGAGCAATGCAGACTATTATACAGTTTCCTCTATTGCAAGCCAGGAAAAAGCAAGAAAAAATAAAGAGGATAAAGTGATACATATTTGTCTTAAATTTTGGAATGGAGAAACTGTAGTTTCTCTCCTTTCTGTTAGAAGTCCATGGAAACCTGTCTGTCAGCCAACTATCTGGTAAGAACTCTGGGGATCAAGGGATAGAGGTAGTTACACTTTATCCCTCTCAATCCCCCAGGAGGAGATTCAGCACAGGATGCTAAAAGTATCAAGATTATATTTTATGATGTTCAATGCTACACACTAGAAGACAGAAGAATATGGCAGATGAACACAGGGTAGCTGCTTCGTGAGAAAAATATTGTTATGTTTTAGGCTCTAGAATGCCACTCTACAAAAGCAGGAAGAGAATAGTTGGCCATCCCAGAACAGTTACCTTCAGATGAAAGTTTATCAGGAGGGACACGAAACATTTCCAGAATGCAGTAGTTTTACTGACTTACCAATTATATTGAATTATATAGGTAATGGGACTTTATAGAAGCCTACCAAACTATTTTTACATCAGTTAGAAAAGACTGAACAGAAGGGCTTGGAAATACAAGTGATAAGAGTATGACTCAGAGACATGTACTTAATGTGATTAGGGGTGGATCCATGGCAATGAAGTTGCACCCTCCTTTGATTCCTGCTCCAACCAACTTTAAAACCAACCACCTGGAAGAGGCAACCACATTTCTATTCAGGCAGTGCTGAGATATTGAATTGATTCCATGGCTCATTATTAGGGACCTACTTAATTTGCAGTGAGACAAAGCCATTTTCATGACTCGGTTCCAGCATGAAAAGCCCAGGGGAGAAGGGACGAGGAAGCAGTCACCATCTTGATTGCTGACTGCCCTTCATCTGGCTCCTGCTGCTCAGTACTGATTGGCAGAGAGGCTCTGGGTGGGGAGAGAAGGAGGAGAGGCAGCTGCCATTTTGTTTCCTGCCCCCTTCATGCTGCCCCACCAGCCAGCACCCTCTCCCGGGTGGCATGATAGGCCTCTCTGGGACGAGAAGACTTAATCAAAACTTATTTTTTTTAAAAATTTTTTCCCCCACGGATTTTGCAGACAACCCTGGATTTTGTGGTTTGTAGTTTTGGGGTAAAACTACAATTTAGGTAGGTCCCTAGTCATTATCATCTCCCAGATTCCTGAAACTCTCTCCACTCCACACGTATTAATGACCTTTTACCCTTTTTAATGGCCTTAATGATCAGCTATTCAAACTATTCTTTCTTCTGAAATATTGCAGTCTGTTAGCCATTGCTAGCAATTTCTCTTCTATTCAACACTTAGTAAAGTTTCTAATTTCTTTTTAACTGGAGAAAAATGTGCTGTATTTTATACACTGATGTTCTACAGCATCTGCACCTCCCTATTCAAAAGCCTAGATCTACCCATGGATATGGTCATAAAAGAAGACAACGTGAATTAACATATACCACTCAAGATATTTCCAGCAGAGATACTAATGACAGCAGTTATTAATATTACAAAATGCTTAGACGCAGGAATAGAGGTTATTATCATTTTCTTGGACTATAGCAAGGCCTTTGATATGGTATCTAATCCTATTCTCATAAATAAATTAAAAGGCCATGACATAGATGTTTACAAGGTCCGGTGGGTGGCAAATTGGCTTAGTGGTCACACCCAGAGAGTGGTAGTAGATGGGTCAGTATCAACCTCGAAGGATGTGGGTAGTAGGGCACTGAAGGGTTCTGTCCTTGGACCTGTACTCTTCAATATCTTCATCAGTGACTTGGATGGGGGTGTGAAATGTACTCTGTCCAAGTTTGTGGATGATACTAAATTGTAGGGTGAAGTGCACACTCCAGAGAGTAGGGAACGATTGCAGGCAGACCTGGACAGGTTAGAAAAGTGGCGGTACACAATAGGATGAAGTACAACAAGGACAATTGCAGAGTGCCGCACCTAGGGTGAAAAATACCCAGCACATCTACTGGCTGGAAAGTGACCCTCTCGGCAGCACAGAAGCGCAAAGGGATCTGAGTCATAGTGGACTCCAAGATGAACATGAGTCATCAGTGTGATGAAATCATTAGCAAAGCTAACTGCACTGTATCATGCATCAACAGATGCATGACGAATAGATCCAAGGAGGTGATACTTCCCCTCTATGTGGCATTGAACTTGAGAAGGTCCAGAGGAGGTCTCTCGTATGGTTAGGGGCTTGCAGGACAAGACCTATGAGGAGAGACTGAGGGACCTGCACCTCTTCAGCCTCTGCAAGAGAAGGCTGAGAGGTGATCTTGTGGCTACCTACAAATTCATTAAGGGGATACAGTAGGGGATCAAAGATGCTCTGTTCACCAGGGCGCCTCTTGTGGTAACAAGGAACAGTGGTCACAAACTGACAGACAGCAGATCTGGGTAGATATCAAGAAAAACTTCTTCATGGTAAGGGTGGCCAAAATGTGGAATGGGCTCCCAAAGGAGGCGGTGCTCTCCCCTACCTTTGGGGTCTTCAAGAGAAGGCTGGATAGGCATTTGGCTAGGGTCATCTGACCCCAGCACTCTTTCCTGCCTAGGCAAGGGGTCAGACTCAATGATCTGTCGAGGTCCCTTCCGACCCTAGCATCTATGAATTTATGAATCTCTGAATCAGTTCAAAGTGTTGGTGACTTTTCACCTGGAATCCTATGTATAGCTGTGGTCATACATATTTAAAAAAATGAATTTAATTTGGAATAGTTGTATAGCAGGGGGTTTCAACCTTTTTTTTTTTTGGTCTAAGTAACCCTGGCAACCAGATGCTGAGGTGGGGTAGCACATGGCCAAACACTAAGTAGGGGGGGTAGCACACAGCCAGACGCTGCGTATTTGTTGAGGGCAGGTAGCACGCAGCTGAATGCCGAGTGAGGGGGTAGCATGTGGCCAGACATGGAGCAGGGAGGCAGTGATGGTGCGTGTGGATGGAATGGCACCACCTCCCAGGAGGTAGGGCAGGGATGCTCACAGGGCTGGGGTGAGGGCAGTGGTACATCTCTGTGGGGAGGGAAAGCTCACCAGACTAGTGTGTGGTAGTGGTGGTGACTGTGTGAGCTTCCCTACCCTGCAGAGGGACGCTGCTGCCCTTGCTCCACCCTAGCCCTGCTCCTGGGAGGCAGTGGCGCTCCTAGATTTCATAGATTTCATAGACATTAGGGCAGGAAGGGACCTTG